TAAGGCTCATGAGAGAGCCAGTTTGGTGTAGTGGTTAAGTGCGCGGACTCTAATCTGGGAGAACCGGGTTTGATTCCCCACTCCTCCACTTGCACCTGCTGATGTGACCTTGGGTCAGTCACAAGCTCTGGCACAGCTGTCCTTGAAAAAGAGCAGTTTGTGTCAGAGTTCTCTCAGCCCCACCCACCTCACAGGGTGTCTGTTGCGGGGAGGGGAAGGGAAAGGAGTTTGTAAGCCGCTCTGAGACTCCAAGTGAAGGGCGGGGTATAAATCCAATCTCTTCTTCTTCTTCTTCTTCTAAAATTAAGGACATCTCACAGGTCTGGGGGTCCAGACCCCTTTTTCAGGCCCACGTTGCAAAGCAAGAAAACTTCCCTTCATAGGAACGTCTAGTGGACAGCTTCCTAGAGGCTAGTAGCACCTCCAAAACTAGCGGGACAGATGATTCCCTGGGCGAACCCTCCAAACGGTCAACTGGAGCGTGTGGAGATCGGGATTGGACGGGAGCAACCCGGTTAGCAGATCCCATGTCACCGGAAACATCTGGGTCTCGCCCCCCGACATGGTCCACAGTTTGGGGAACCACAGGCGTCTTGGCCAGAAGGGGGCAATGATGATGGTCATAGTGCCGTCGAGGTGCACCTTTGCAACCACCGGACTTAAAAGTGGCAGTGGGGGAAAGGCATAAAATAGGCCTCCCCTCCAGCGAAGCTGGAAAGCCTCTCTTAATGACCCCATCCCAATGGCAGCTTGAGAACAAAAACAAGTGCATTTGGCATTTGCAGGGGTGGCAAAAAGAGCTACATGTGGAGCGCCCCACTGGCCGAACAGTGGCTGTAGGTAAGTGTCTCCAAGAGACCACTTGTGCGTTGATTGAAAAACCTTGCTGAGGAAATAGGCCTGTGTATTGAGATGACCAGCTATGTGAATAGCTGAGATGTCTGCGCGTATTTGTATGACTTGGCGCCATAAAGCAATAGCTTCTACAGTGAATGCCATAGAGGCAGTGCCCCCTTGTTTGTTCACATAATACTGCACAGTTGTGTTGTCCGTGTGGAGGAGGATGCTGTGCCCTGACAGAAAATCTGCAAAGGAAGAGAAAGCATTCCTCACTGCCCGGAGCTCTAGAAGGTTAATATGTCACCTCGCCTCCTCCTGTCCCCAGTGACCTTGGGCCACTGAGCCATCACAGTGGGCTCCCCAACCCATAAGGAAGGTGTCAGTGAACAACTGAACATCATGGCTTCGGAAGCCAAAGGGAACCCCAGCCAGTAAGTTGGACAGGTCTGTCTACCAACTTAGACTCCATGCAACAGCTCGGGGTACTGTCAATTGGATGTCCGTGTGCGCATGGATTATGCGTGTGTGCATGGAACACTCTCAAAAACCAATTTTGTAGCATCCTTATGTATAGACATGCACAAGGGACCACCGCAGTGGTAGCAGCAACGTGCCCTAAGAGACACTGGATAAACCTAGCAGAACATCTGTGACCAGAAAACAAGGAGTGGACGAGGGCTATAATTAGGGCTGCCAAGCCGCGGCGGGGGATCCGTGCATCTTCACAGGATCCCTGCCGTGGGGGACAGCGATACGCGTTGCACCGCCATCGCCAGGATGTGACGCTATGCGTCGCTCTGGCAACGGGACTCCAAACAGCCCCGTTGCCAGAGTGACGCGTGGCGTCACATCCTGGCGACGGCGGTGCAACGCGTATCACTGTCCCCCGCGGTAGGGATCCTGTGAAGACGCACGGAGCCCCCGCTGCGGCTTGGCAGCCCTAGCTATAATACGCCATGCCCGAATCTCGGGCAGAAAGGCTCTCCCTGATATGGCATCTAACTGAGCCCCAATGAACTCTATGCGCTGTACCGGGCGGAGGGTAGATTTCTGGAAGTTTACTAACAACCCCAGAGATTGAAGGGTAGTAAGGGTAAATGCAATGTGCTCGGACAGATGACCTGGAGAATTAGCAACCAGTAGCCAGTCATTGAGATATGGGTATACTATGTACCCTTGAAGGCGGAGATAGGCCACTACTATGGAGAGGCACTTTGAAAAAACCCTAGGCGCCGAAGCTAGCCCAAAGGGTAGCACAGAGTATTGAAACACAACACCTTTGTAGACAAATCGTAATAGGCGGGTACAGTTCTTATGAATAGCAATATGGAAGTAGGCATCAATCAAGTCAATGCTGGCAAACCGGCAACCTGTGTGCAAAAGTAAAATGACATTGTGCAAGGAGAGCATTCAAAACTTGGGTCTCGTCAGATACTTATTAAGGTGACGGAGGTCCAAAATGGGTCTTTGACCACCATCCTTTTCGTCAATCAGAAAAAAGGGGGAATAGAATCCCAGAGTCTGTATCGCTCCCTTATCCAGGAGGGACTGCACCACTGGTGGAAAGGGCGGTGTTGTTGTGCATGGTTGAAGAAAAAGACAATGGGAGTAAGGGTAAGAACTGAACTCTAAATAATAGCCATCCTTTATTATGGACAGAATCCAAAGGTCGTCTGTAACGACCAACCATGCTGGATAGAACCGTGCCAACCTATCCCCAAAGGATGGGCCCCCCTGTAGTCATTGTAACTCTGATCCCTGAGTAACAGGATCTCTGCCCACTCTATTACCCTGTGCCAACTTTGATTTAGGGCTCCTGCTGTGGTAGGTGGACTGATAAGAAGGCCTAGCTGGAGCATGGAAAGACTGGCTCTGAAATCTTGGTTCTGAGTAATGGAACGGGCGAGAGTAAGGCAAGCGCTGTAAGGACCATGACCAGTACCTGGGCTTTTGCTGGTTGGTAGTCGTGGCAGTAATTCCGAAGGACTTCGCTTGGAGTTTGTACTTTCTGATACGCTCCAGGACCTCATCCGTCTCCTGACTAAACAACTCCTTCCCCTCAAATGGAAGATCTTCGAGCTTAGCCCAAGTATCCATCGGCAACGCTGAGAAGCACAACCAGGAATGCTTATGCAAAACGAAGGCGGAGCCCATCGCCCTGCTGTGGCAGTCGGCATTATGGCGAGCCGCATTTCCCTGCAGCTTGCCCAGCCGCCTACCCTCCTCAGCTATGGCCTTGGCCAAGGCCTGTTTGTCATGGGGCAAGGTCCCTAAGTACGGACCTATCTTCTCCCAAAGGAGATGTTTATATAGCCCCATAACGGCGGAGAAGTTAGCAACCCGCAGACCCATAGCCCCGGAAGAATACATCTTCCTCCCTATGGTGTCCAGCTTGCAATACTCTTTGTCATTCAGGGAGGTATGTGAGCCATAACGAGTACGTGCTGAAATAACCTCCAAAATAAATGAATTAGGCTTTGGATGCTGAAACAGGAAACTGCAGTTAGAGTCATCTAAGTCCATCTAGTCTTCTGGCCGATGAAGTAGTGGATGCTAGGTGCATCCAGGCAGCAAACATCACTTCCTGGAGACCTTGTAAAAGAGGCAAGGCAACAGCATCCGGCATTTAAAAAAAAAAAAAGCGGATCCTTCGTTTTGGGCTCTGAGGATGTGTGCTTCAATTCCAATGCCCTGGCCATTCTAATAATGTGTTCAGCGAATGAAGCCATGTCCTCCAAAGGTGATAAGGAAATCTTGTTGCCAATAACATCATCAGGTGATGGGACAGACGCAGGTTCAGATCCATAGTCAGAAGTCGCATCCCCCTCAGAGTGGGACTGTGGGCGGCGATAATCTTGGAGAGGATCTCCGTGTGTTGACTGGGGAGAACATGACGGATGGCGAGATTCTCCCGGTCCCAGAGATTGACTGCAGGCGCAGGGATACCACGGCAGAGGCATCTCAAAAACATTGATGGAAGGTACAGGGCTCATAGTATGCACCAGGAGAACATCAGAAGAGATAGACTGGTTGCGTTGACGGGCAACCTCTGACCACGGAGACAGTTCGGTAACGAGGATCGGTACCAATGGCAATCAGTACCGAGGTGAGGCCGAGTGTCTGCAGCGTCGAACTGGTGATCGACCCCTCAAAGCCAAGCGGCCGTCGGTACCGGGTGATTGTTGACAGTGAGAAGGAGACTGTCGGCGCTGATCTGTGGTTGATTCCGTTGCACGGTCAGTGGCTCGAGGCGCTTTTGATGGTGGCGAACACCATTTTTGCGTCTTCTTTTTCTTGGCCTTTTTTGATGGTGGCTCAGATTCTGCACGAGGCAGTGAAGTAGCCGTGGAGGGTTGTGCCTGGGCAGGGGTCGGCGCAGAACTCACAGACGGAGGGCGAGAAGGCTTTTCTGAAGGGGCCGTGGTCATGGATTCTGCGGCTGCTAGGGCTCTCTCCCATAGCGCCGCCTTCAAGCGGACCGCTCTGCCTTCCCGAGCCCGGGAAGTTAGGGCCTTACAGGTCAAGGTGTTATGGGTTTCCCCAAGACAGAGCAAACAATAAGAGTGCTCATCAGATTGAGCCATTTTGGCCCTACACATGTGGCATTTCTTAAATAAAGCTACCTTTTGCTTCCCTGAGTACATTTTTACCTCAGACAAAAAACACACAGCTCGCAGCAACACGTCCTCTTTCGGTGGCAGCAGAAAGAAAATTGAGGGAAGAGTGCAGGCTCCTCCCAGGTCAGGTGATTTTTGGGCGGGAAATTCCCTGCCTGGAAAGGAGCCTAGCTCTCTTGGGAAGAAATTTCTAGTAAAAAGCTCGCTAATTCCTCCCGGTGGCAGGCCTGCAGTCCCATGTGGGACTGCACAGAAGCCTTGAAGATGAATGTTGGTTGCTAAACACACAAGTGCCCACTTTGCGGGGAGGGCGGGGTATAAATTTGATAATAAATAAGTGCAAAAATAATGGCTCAGAAACAGCTCTTCCAGTTACAAGTTGAACGGCAACAAAGTTACAAAAAACAGAATTTTCAGATGTCTGAAAAAAATTCCTTGTACTCAAATACAGAGCTCCTACTACTGAATGAACACAACATTCTACAGATGGCAGATTCAGGGTACATGCCAGTATGGCCACAAGGCAAAAAAATAGAAGTCCTTATGAATTTATTTACACAATTATTAAAGTACACAAATACAGTGGTAATACAAATGAGGCGTTCTGAGATATTGGTTACCAGTACACAGGTTTAGAGACATTCTAACTATATTTTCAGTAGGTGATGGTGGGATTTAACTATAATGGAAGGGCAAGGACTGCCCACAACCAAGTACAAGTCTAGAAATTTGCATTAGTCAACTTTTAAGTATAATACAGCAATTTAAGTTTCCAGATATATATATAGAGAAGAGGCTGCTTTTATAAGTCTCTAACATTACATCATTTGACCACAAATATTTACAAAGAAAGCACACTGAAGTGTAGTACTGTACAAATGGAAGTGCACATGCCTGAAGAACCCACATTTATAGTAACCAAGTGATACAGTTTTGCAAAATCCTCCATGGATCAACATTTAAAAATATTCCCACTGCACACCCCTAATCACAGGATGCATCCAATCAGACCCTGAACATACAAATAAGCACTTGGTTAATGTTTCAGAGCAGCTAAAGAAAAGTGACAAGATACTTCCTACTCAAAAATCCACAAAACTAAAAATGGAGCTGGCAAAGCTTTAGAACAATAAAATGCTTGCAAATAAATAGAAAAAGGAAACCATGGGTTCATATAAGCCACTAAGTTTCCAAGGAGGCAAGAATCTCACATCTGTTGATTAAAAAGTAGTAATACAACACATCTATGTATTGCACCTTCATTCCCAAGATGGGCGTGATGTTACATTGAGTGGTATTTGGTATGATTTACATGCCTTCTACTTTCCCAGATTACAGAGGGACAAAATATACTGCTTGTGAAAACAAAGATTCTTCCTTCTTTAGCTGGAACGTTTGTTTGCTAAGGTAAGCGTTTTGGCTATTATGTACGTGTATCTTCAGCTGAATGCCAGCTGTTCCAGACTTGCAAACGTTAAAATATTAAATTCAACAGGCTTGAATGATCTCAAGTCTTGGCATCTTGCAGCAGGAACATTTTGTTTATAGCTCCACCAAGCCTTGGCATAATGCAGCAGGCTATAATAAGCACTTGCATACTCATAAGCACACCTACTACAACACACTGCACTACAACTCCCACTGCAGTGGCAGCATTCTTTTTTTTTTTTTGGCATCTGTACCAAAACCCAAGCAGAAACAGTGGATCTTGTCATTAACATTTCATATGAAATCCTCCTGTAAATAAAGAACACATATTGTACATTCAACATTAAAACCTTCCCTAAAAAGTTATTTTAGAGCATTTGACTTTAGTTCCTCACAGTCTATGAAGTGATCTTATCACCTTGACTGGGTACTTTTCTTCCTTTCAAAATAACTTTTCTTTCATGAATAGTACCAGAGACGAATAGACATTTAAAAAAATGTTACTGTGCAGCATGGAGATTTAATTAAAAAACAACAACACTGGAAGAACAAGACAGGCAAATTAAAAAAAAATGTTTAAAAACAATCCCTCACCCAAAAAACTTAAACCTTGAGAACATCCATACTATTCCTCCTCTTAGGATGGGACCATATATAAACAAAACAGTGTAAAGTAAAACCAAACTGTTCTAATTCATTTACACATTCCCTGCCTGATGTAAGTTTACAAGAAGTTCAAGTCTTTTTTATACTTCAGGATTGTTCACATTTCTACATAGGTTTCAGATCAGACAAAAGTGAGAGTGAATTCTTTACAGAGAGTTAAGCCAATAATCTTAGCAAAATGAATACAAAACTTTCTTAAACCAAGTAAAAGATTTATATAGTTACAAGTAGAACAATAAAAAGGGGGTAAAGGCTGCCGCCTGTGGAGGGAAAACTGAAATGGCTATTAAATAACAGGCGGTTAATGCTGTAAACTGTCTCTTCCTTTTCTAGCCCTGTAGCTAGAGTTCACATAAGGTTATCAGGTTCCTGGCCAAAGCCTCTTGTAGTGGCAGCTGCTGGATTCTGTCCATGTTCCTGTGAGTATCTTTAGTAAGTGGCAAGGAGAGATCCAGTTGTAATATTTCTTCTGCTCTAGTTTGGGGTAGCTTTGCTAGTAAAAGCCATTGGTAACATAGGAGATCAGCCATGCATTATCTGCCCCTCAGTGGCAACATTATTCACCGATGCACAGCAGACTGGAGAACGCTGGATGTCGCCAGAGCAGGAATCTATTGAAGCCAAGGAACAGGATATCAATATCAGCCCACACTACTGAAAAAGCATGAAAATGGATCTGTTAAAGTAATCTCAGCCACTTCTTGTAAATACGATTGAGCAGAGTTCCATTTCAGAAGGGTGAAATGAGAATGCGCAAATCTACATTCCAAAAGAATCAGTGTTACACCCACCTGTAGCACCCATGACGTGAATGGTATTTTCCTTTTATATTGAGGTTAAGGCTAAGGCAAGAAAGGCACCTCGTGAGAGACGGTTTACAGAACAAGAGAAAAAGCACATGCTGGCAAAAAGGAACAGATCAGATGATTGTAGCTGAGCTCTTGAATCAGTAATGAAATTCAAATCAAGGGCTAAGGTGATAAATGGAAGTGGCACCTAGGAGAGATTCGTCTTAACAATGACACATTATTGAATACATTCTACAATATTCTTTCCAAAGCATATGCCAGTGTTACATAAGGCCCTGTGAACTCTGCAAACAAACTTATGTTGAATTTGACTATGCAGGCTGTGAAGCCCTATTATGATGTACAAAACAATGATTTAGTGGGCTCCAGATGTAGTTGGTATTGACAGTCTGAGTCTTAGCCGCACTTCACAGTTTAAAGCAGGAACACTTCCATAACAGCTTTGCCTGCCTCTGTTACACGGCTATATCCCACCTCCAGAGTATGGCCCAACATGTACATTTTCTTTTTTTTTTTTTTAAAGTGAAATTTTTTATTTTATTGAGAACAAGAATAATTGCCATAATAAAACTGTAGAAGTATGTAGATCAACCTGGCAATAGCGTAATAACTTTTTGAAACAGATGTACAACTGGATTAAACAATCTTAAACATAGAGCGATATGATGAAAATATAACTCATAGAAGGAGATAATATATATATATACAGCACACTGATACCAATTTTAGCAGTTACAGATACAATATGTAGCCAATACTCATTATTAGATGCGTTTAGACATTTGTTGTTGTGTATAGATATGGATAAACATAACCAATAAGAATTCCTAGGTGAAGTTTGTAATATAGTGCTGAGCCGAACATTAAATCCATAAGTGAAATTGGGACCATTGAGAGGACACAAACTGCTGCTTTGACAAGAAATCCAAAATCGGATACCACTTGCTAGTGAACTCATCCTGGCTTGAATCTTGGGAAAGGGGTGTCAATCTACTGGTGACAGCGTCCATGAGAAAATGATGCCATAACTTCTTGTACCAAATCTCAATCGAAGGTGGGTTGCTGTCCTTCCAAGCTGAAGCTATGGAAGTCTTGGCCGCGTCTAACATAGTTTGAATAGTATTTTTGTGAGGTCTATTAATCAGTTCCTTGGGCCATGCATTCAAAAAAAGAGTTTCTGGTTCAAAGGGAACTGAGATAGATGTAACTTCTTTGATGATTGTTAAGATCTTCTCCCAGAATAGTTTTATCTTAGGGCACCTCCACCAACAATGGGCAAAGTCCCCTATTTGGGCACATTTCTTCCAGCATAGCGGGGAATTTGTGTTAGATATACGTGCAAGCATTTTAGGGGTGAGGTACCACCTCGTCATCAATTTGAGATTTTGAAATTTTATCGTAATAGAGCGTGTTTTAGAACTAGAAGTTTGCCAAAAATTTCTCCAGAGCTCCTTGCTTAGAGGAT